TGTCATACTTTTGTTTTCTCAACATTTAGTTTTCTAAATTTCAGAATATTATGGGGGTTAATTTGAAAATATGGTAGAATAATAAGCCCTCTAATTAGTTGTATTAACAATTTTGTTCAAAAAGTAAAAACTGCTTCTGTAAACATAGTTCATTCCCAGTAGCTGTCTCACTAGTGTCTGAGGCTTAGGGTTGTTTTATATTATCCTAGGAATTTTCCAGCTCTAAACTCTGTGTCTTCATTGGCTGACCTTCTAGGGAGAAGCAGTGATCATAAATTATTTCAGCATATTTTGTGTAGTGTTTCCTTAGTGTTGGGGTTTTTGTTTTGTTGACTTTTTTTTCTTTAACTTACAATACATAGACCAGCAGTCCTATTTACACTGTAATTCAGCTGAAGCTGATAAAGATATTTTTCCACCTTACTATTATGATCAACTTTTTGTAGACAGTGGTTTAAATAAGATTTAAGTATTCCCTTCCTAGCCTGGAGCCACAATGTCCTGAAAGCTGTGGTTTTATCTAAGTCCCAGTTAGAAGATAATAGCCCACAATTTGGTCCTTCCATTTCTAAAAGGACCAGTTTCTGCCATCTTGTAATTTTTACCATGTTGTTTATAGCATTCTAGAGAATTTCTCAGAATACTAGCCAGGATGATTGTACAGTCTGAGTCTTTTGAGATATGCTGTGATGTTATGTGTTGCTTACTTACCAGATTAACATCATGTGTGCAGTATCTTCTGTTGCTTGGCTCAATTTCCTGCCACCACTCTATATGGCTTGCATCTGTAGAGCTCTAAACTACTGTAATTATAATAGCAATTCATTTATTGTTTAAAAAGATCAAAAATCAAAAAATTTTCTTTCTAGTGAAGTGTTTTCTCTGAATATGTAGCCTTTCTGAAAGCTTTTACAGGATTACACATTGCCCCATACAGGATTACAGGATGACACGTTGTCCCATACAGCTTTCTCCAAAATGTAGTTTTATAGGTATGGCTTGTAGCTCATCAACAGTGTAAACTCCTGGTTCTGTCACAGATCTATTGTATTGGAATCTCCATATATAGAACCTGACTATCTACTTTTTAAACAAGTATCCCAGTCACTTTCATGCACACAAAATTTTGAGAACCACTGACTTAGGTTGGTTGTTCAATCTTTTTGATCCTTAAATAGGATAATGAACTTTGAAGAAGCATTTTTGCACTATGGCTGGGCTAGATAAGGATTTCACATTCCACAACAGGTCACGTAGTAAGTTCCATCTGAGATACAGCTAAAAGATATCCTAAAGCTCAGGTAACAAGAGAGTAGTAGCTTATTGCTAACAACTGACACAGAGACAAAGTACTTTAATTGGTAAGTCATCGAGTCTTATCACAGTTCTCATGAAGAACTTTTATTTTATCCCTCTGTTGTAATCATTTTTTTTTTAGTTTAAGTCAAATATTTAAAGAAGTACTTAGGAATTTCAAGGACAAGATATGTGTAGCCTCTGAGGAAATCAAACACAGTAGCAGTAACATTCTTTGTCACCTAGATGTAGATAATACCTATTTATATTAAATAGGTATTGCCTCTTTCAGGCAAATCCAGAAGGACTTGGCCAAGATACTATCTATATCACATTTGCCATTTGGTGTAGGAGCCTCGTAAGAACTACTGCTGCCTGGAAGTTGATGTAGCTTCATGAATAAAAAGAAGACCCCAATGATAGGACTAGAAACATGTAACTATCAGGAAATAAAGGAATTTTTTATTAGAATGCCATAGTGGGATTTCACTTTATTTCATGCAGTGACAGTGGTGACCCAAGAAACTTCCTTTTGCCACTAGCTGAACAGATGCCTACCTGCCTGCTTGGTGGCTTTCCTTCCTTCTGTTCTTCTTCCCTCCTCTCCTGTCTGTCCACCCTCCCTTCATTCCTTCCTTCATTCCTTCTCTTACATTCTTTCATTGTTTATTTTTACTTAAGACCCAATGAATTGGTTCCAGGATCATAGTATGATACAGTGAAAAGTATTTTGCATGTATTATCTATAATAATTCACTACTTACATTTTATTATTTCCATCAAAGAACTTAACAATTTGAGGTTTAGAGTAAATTGTTCAAGGTTTCACTTGTTGCATAGATAAAGAGATAATTTTACTAAAATCCATTTTATAAACTACTGCACTACACTGTTGCCTTCATACAAGCAATTTCAGTGTGTATTTATTAGGAAACTCAGACCCAAATTATTGAACTAATCAAGTAACAACTAGTTTCTTAAATTGAATGGCTATTACCAGCATTTAAAACTAAAACTTCCAAGTTCAGTTTGTTTTTCATTACAATAGCTGTCTTCTTAGGTAACACCTTATAAGTCCACACTGTCCATTCTTATTTGCAGAACATTATGTGTGTAAAAGGACTCCTTATGGAGTATTCACTAACAACAAAATTTTTAAATAATATTGAAAAAGCAGAACTTATTGACTAATGTCATCTTCCCCAAAATTTAAGAATAACTTAAATGGAATGAGGTTTATTGCATCTCCTGATATATATAGTATATTTAGCTTAATTTCCATTTTATTTTCAGTCATTCGTGACACTGCTGTGTAAGAAATATAGAACCACTATATTAAACAAAATGTACTATTTTTTATTTTCAAGTGTGCTACTTAAATTAAGAAAATAGTATCATTCACATATTATTTTGATATTATGCTATGAAAACTTCAGCCATCTAGTTTTTCTTCTAAATAAAATCAGGCTTTAAAGTCATGGGTCCTGGTAATTAACTTTCTTATAAACTAATTTTTATAAGCTCTTCTTTTTATTTCATTTTGGTTCATGTGCTTTATGTCGTATTCAATGTACTAGACAAGTGAACATTAATATTAACAGTTTGTCAAAACATTTATCTCCATGGAAAAATTGATATGTATTCAATATCAATGACTACACACATTTTATTCTTTAGTAGTCCTCTGATCTGCAAATATATTGCCCTTATAAATAAAAGTCAATTTATTTTAGAATAAATTACCCTTACTGATATTTCTCTTACTTGATAGATTTAGTAAAATATCAGAGAGGGAAATAAATAAATGAATGTCACACTTTAGCTGTAAAGGAATTCATTACTCAGTGTTTCTTCTTGCAAAAGATTTTGAAAATACATGCAGCCATTAAATATAAATTTTTAAGACCATTTAAAAATTGTGGTCCTTAGTTTAATCTTAATTAAGTTATTGATTTAGGTGACCGCATACATGAACAATAACTATGTAAGCCTTAAGACTTCTGGAATACTTATGTTTGCTCTTATGGCTTTTGGTTTGTGCCAGTAATCTGTTTGTTGCACATTAGTAGACAAAATGTGTTCTTGTAGTTTGCATGTGTAAGTTCCTTGAGAACATAAATTTTTATTTTCCTGTTATTACTGGATTCTCATTGTCTGTCTATATTGGTGACTTGATACATATTAATTGTTCAATAAAAATTAGCAAATGAATTTAAGTTCATCAAATCCTAAAGTCTCTTGGGGTATTTGGACTTGATAAGATTTTTAGACTAAAAAAGATGGACAAAAGTTGAATGTTACTACTGGTTCCTGAATATCATCTTTTAAAAATACCACTTCATTCTATTAATGAATTCATCTATCAAAATAAAATTAATTTTTGAATGATATTTGTTTAGAAGGTACAATCACTTCTCAGCTTTTTCGATAAGATCGAGTATAGAAGATAGTATGTGTTGGGATTAGAGACTATAAAATGACTTATGCATGACTATTTTTGATTAGTTACGCTTTTGTATAATTACTATAACAAATTTTAGGACAATATTTTGAGGGATATTTGTTTAGTCCTATTTTAAAGACAAGATAATCAAAGATATTCAGGATAATACAGCAAATACTTGGTATATTCAGGACTATCTCCAAAGCCCTTCCCCTCTATTGCCTTATGTATACAAGAAATAAGCTTGAAGTGTTATAGATTAGTTATATGAAAATGATGTCTTTAATGACCAGGCGTGAATTCAGATGTGGCAGCTGTGCTATGAGTTACTGAAAAATTAGAGATGGAAACAAAAATGGTTTAGATCAGGAGTTAAAGAACAGCCTTTGCATGGAAATACCATGACAGGATTTATGACAAAACGTAGCAGACCTCCTTGGTCCTCTCAATTGATACAATTATGCATCATAAGTGATGTAAAAGTTGAGGACATTGATTTATATTGGGTTATATTTTTTCCTCTTTTTTTTTATATATAAATGGAAAACCTAGACAATTACTTTCATTTAAAACAACTGTATAACAACTAATTTTCATAAGCAAGATTAACAGCAGAAATACTGTGGGAATCCATTTAGAAGCTAAATATTCTAGATGGAGATCTGTGTCAGATTGTTAATAATCAATTGGTATCAACTATATATATAATTCTTCCTATGTATAGAAAAGTATACATTTTTCAATATGCTAAAATCAGTTTTAATTGTGTTTGGAAGAAAACTTAAATAATCTCATGAAATTTGTGCATTTACAAAGCTAACTCCTTATTTTGGAAATTTTGGTAATGTAGAAAGTAGTGATTTGACATTTGATGGATCACTTTTGACTTATTTTAAAGGAGGAAAAATCAGAAAAATTATTTCTGTTAATTTGTATCTGATGTTATCAAGTACATTTTCACAGTAACTCTGGAAGAATCATTTCAGTGTGTGTGTATGTTTGTGACAAATCCTGTAATTGTTTACTTTTTTACTTTACTTACATTGTTTACTTTTGATATTAAGGTGTATAGTTTACCATAATATCAACCAACATTTTCATGTATTTCCATTTAAACCAATAATTATTTTCTTCAACAGAATTATAAATAGGAACTTAATGAGTAGATTTTTTCCATTGTTTATCTTCATGACATGAAAGTATAAAGTAATCATATCTTTTTCTCAGATTGTAATTTTTGTTTCTTTGTCTTCTTTTATAGAGCTACATTCACGGGAGCAGCCAGGCCCAATTTGTGGCAGAGTCACACATTATTCTGGTACTGAGTATCCTTTAAAATACTGATGAATTGAAAAAGGTAAACCAAAGCTGCATGTTATTAAATTGATATTTTCCTATCAGTAAATATGAAGACTTTTAAATGACATTAAATTTAAAGCTATACTATATGACTAATTTTTAATACCTATGTTAATTATTTTCTATTACAGTATAATTTTATTGTTATGAACCATTATCAGACTGTAATTTTCTCTTTTTTACTTACTACTGAATTTGAAAGTATTGATTTTATTCTGCATTGATTATCTCTGGATAGATTTTTTTTTGTGAAGTTTATATGGTTTTTCCCCTATAACATCTCAATGGGGAGAAAAAAAGTGCTTTATGATATAAATAGCAATGTAAAAAAATTCCTTTTATCTTAATACTGCTTCCCTGGAATATATAACAAGTCAGAAGAGGGAGAGTTAGGATAGTTAGATATCTCTTTTTGGTCATGTCAGACTAAGTGTTGTGAATCAGACCATACTGTGTCATTTATGACTTGGAGTTTGAGGGGTAAAGAAAATAGTAGAATAATAAAGAGGTGATATTTAAGCATCTAATCTGAATATTCTTAGAATAAAGTTACTCTTTGGGCAAACAGCTCTATTTTGGAGGAACTTGATGTTTGTGTGAGTCTTATGAAATGTTTGAAGGTTAAATTTATAGTGTTACTTGAACATACTGAGTCATTATGAGAATTTAAAGTGTGCCTATAGTATTGTATGTGTAGTATTTAACATTTATAAATACTACAAGTTTATATTTATAAAAGTTGATAATTATCCCAGTTATTCATATTTAAATGAAGTAGTCTAGACCAAATTCTCCAGTATTTTATAAAATCATAGCTATAAACCTTTAAATATCTTAGAACTCATCTAGGCCAAAACTATATTTTATATGTAAGTAAACTGGAGTCCACAAAAATTTATTGACTTGCCTTAGGTTAGAGGAGGAACTAGAATTAGAATTCAGTTTTTTTTTTCCCTGGACTATTGGTAGTAAAGGTACTTAAATTTTTAAATACTACACTTTGTTATGGTCTGTGATGTATAATTTCATGAATCAATGTCAGTCATGCCATCTTAAACTTATTACTTTTAATCTGGGTGGAAAAGGCTATCTTTTTAACAACATTGATGTTTTTGTGGTTTATTACTTGGTTGTGTCATAACATTGTATTAAATTATGGTGAGGAAAAGGGTTGGGAAGTGTTTAAAGCACTTACAATTCTCAATAAGCTCACAGACTTCCTCATTTGTAAAATCAGAACTAGCAGTAATAACCACATGGCATTTCTGTGTGAAGTAAAGGAGATAACACACATAAAGCATCTAGAAATTACTAAAGACTAGTTGGTTTATCCCTCCTATATTTTCTTACCTTTCTTACTTAGAAATTTGATGGTTACAGGTAGCATGCATAAATACATGTTTATTGGTTGATTCTTTAGCACTTAAGAAAAGATGTAAATGATCAGGAAAAAATACTGTGATTATAGTCACAGTATTTATCAGAATTCTAAAACTTACAATGGGGATATATTGAAATGACTTAATTTTTCCAGAGTAAAATTTGTTCAACCCATCCAGTCGTGTAATTTACAAGATAATAAAAAGACACTATGAGAAAGCTTGACCGTGGAAATGAAGTTTGAGGAGAGATTAAGTCTCCAGTTTATACTGGAGGAAAACTAAACATTGTCTTTCTGAAACTCATTGAGAAACATAAACCATCTTCTTCCTGTGTATTAGTTTTCAATATTTTTATTCCACAATTACACATATTTGGATACATAGAATTATGCATAACTCAGCTTATTCCTTGCTTACATTTGTTTACTCAGTGCTAGCTCAGGTATGTGTTGGAGGATAGCTTACTACCAACAAAATTAAGAATTTACTGGAGGAAAACAAGGTTTGGAGAGAAATATTTAGCTTAACAAAATTCCTAAGATGGACAGGCCTCATATTTGATTGATGAGAAAGGCTTTGTTTAAATTGATTAAGATCATAAAGCCAATCAGTCATGATTTTTTTAAACTTTTTTTTTCTACTCAGTAACATTTTCCCAATAAATCAAAACCTCTGTGGTGAGTAGGCCAGTAATGTTCTCACAAAACTATATAGTAAACGTATATTTGTTATGTATTTCTGAAGGATCATTTTATTGAAGATATAGCAGATATGCTGATATTTCTTTAGTTATTCTCTCGTGTCTTTGTACAAACACTACACCCTCTAGCATTACAAAAAAAAATGTGGGGAATATGTAAATATAAATACACACATATGTGCATATATATCTGTGTGCTGAAGTGCAGAAGTTGCCAGAGACCTAGCAAGGTCTCTGATGGTTTGAAATTTACCACCTAAACGGAGAGACAGATATGTAGCAAATAATTTTGTAAATAATTATTCAGTTATAATTATTTTCTTAAAGAAGCTTTCAAATGTCCAAAATTCAGTAACACTCAAGCTGAGACACATGTCTCTTAACTGGAATATTATTAAAATGTAAACATACAGTTTTTGAAAACATAATTGCATGAATTGATATGTGTATGAAATAAATTATATATAAAACCCTGTATATAATATCTCAGAGTAGAAAATTTGAACTGTAGCTATCAAATGATAAGATTAAGGTAGGATATGTTTTTGGTAATAGAATTTAATTTCAAAACCTCACACATGTCTTTTGATGATAACTTGAATTCTGCATTTCTTACTACATACACCTACAAGTATGGCACAGTAAAATAGACATAGAATTGCAAGTAGTGGTTTGTTTTCATAAGAAAAGCATTTCACATTTAAAGAAATGTTTGCAGAAATATATATTATTTTATTAACTAATCTGTCACTGTTTCTACCAATAGGCATTCTCAGAGTAGGGGAGGGTAATGTCATTTAAAATTCCAACCAAACCAAATTATAGTTAGTGTCCATTGGTCATAGACAGCAATGATCCCACTGTATTCAGCAAGATACGGTCTGTGTTTGGAAGTGGGTACAGAAAACATGAATTCTAGCTCTGACCTGCCATTGTCCCTTAAGTCTCTACATCCTATAAGTGCTGGGATCTCAAGATGACATGAAATAAGTATCAGTGGGAAGTAAAAGTGCTGATATAAAAGCAAAGATGATACTAGCAATAATGATTTTAAAATATTTTAACATAATTCTTATAAAGATCACATTGCTTTTTCTATGAAAAAAAAAACATTCGTTTTCCATTTATGATAGAATATGGTTTTTACTCTGCATTTGTGTTCAGTCTCTGATGGTGAACAAATGTGTCTTTTATTTTAATGTGTTATATCCAAGGAGAAAAATAATATAGAATAAAATTAATGATGTATGCAAGTTGAAGATAATTTTACATTTAGACTCCTTTAAGTCTTCTATAATGTGCTAACCTTTTTTTAAATATCTGTACTCATTTATCTTTAAATTGACAAAATCCTGATTCCTTTCCTAGGAGCAACAGTAAAGTTATCATCATGTGCAATTGAGAATGGATTATAATGTAATGTAAATGTATATGTTACTAGTTTCATACGATGCTCAGTGCCTCATGGATATTGTATATAATATGCACAAATAGCAGCTTCTATTTTATGTGAGATTGTGTCAATGTTTTGAATTTTTAAGCAGTAGGAAAATGGTCAACAGGATCAGCAAAGAAACAGGAGTGTACACAGTAGTTGAAATATATGTTGCTATGATATTAATACAAATATGCAAAGTAATACATAAAGTAGACCAGGTGTGTGTATGGGGTTCTGAAGGCTGGAGGCCTATCTCTTTCTCTTTTACTGTTGGGACAATGCAATAAGGCACAGCTAGATAGATGGCGACACTAATCAGTCTAATTGGCAGAAAAGAATCTATTCAAGAGTCATACGTAGAATCTTCTCAGATTTGGAAGGTCTTTCATTAGTCAGTCTTCCACCCAATGAAGGAAAGAAATACTACATATGAATCCTGGCAGATGATCATCTAGCTTCTCTATCTAAAACTTAAGATTTTTATGTTACAGTGTGATTTTTTTCCCCCAACTAGTATTATGTGGACTCTTTTTTAGCCAAAAATGTTTTAGTTAATAAATTCTCAGCTCTGAATGGCCTTCAGTTAAAAATGTATCTTAAATGAAAGAGAGGCAGGTTAGTAAGTTTAAAGCCAGTTTAATTTAATGCATCTATCTTAATTACAGCCATCATGTTTAAAATAGGCTCACTGCTCTTTTCTTATTAAAGCGTAGAAAACTCACTTCTACAAGAAACCTAAGGAGGAGATTAAATCTGTTTACTGACTCTACTGCTGTCTACCAAAATGTTTACCTTGGGGTTATACACAACCTATGTCTAGTAGTCCCTATGCTTTAAAATTCCTATGTTGGGGTTCTATGCAGAAGTGTTTAATAAATCCTTGCATTTCTGTATTTTCAAGTAAGAATGTCACATGCAATCGTATATAGGTTTTTTGTGGCACCGACTTAGAACCTCTGTAACAGCTATTGGCAAACTAGGACCAATGCTGGCTAAATCCAGCCTGCCTAGTATTTTTGTAAATAAAGTTTTATTGGAACACAGACATAGCCATGCATTGACTATGACTATGTTTCCACTACAACAGCAGAATTGAATAATAGCAGCAGATGCCATATAGCTAGAATAGCTGAAAATATTTATTTTCCATCCTTTTACAGAAAGTTTGCCAACTCCTGCTCTGGAGGTTGTGGTCAATAAAGAAAACAATACTTGACAACTTTGTTACCCCAAAAACAGTTGGTACTATTTATTATCTTTCTTTCCCTGCAGTCTTTTCTTTGTATTTGTTTTAAAAGAGAGGAGGTTATAGTTATGTTTTTTTAATATAGATATATTTTTTTCATTTGGCATGATGACTAAAGTATTATATGTTCAGAACTTTGTCAGCTTCATTTTATACAGCTACTTAATCTATCACTTATATGTACCCTACATTATAGTTGA